ATTTAAAACAGTTAAATAGAAGCTTTAGTCTAATAGCACTCTCAGAAACGTGGCTTAATGATGAAAGTAAAAATAATGTGAATATTGAGGGGTATGAATATTATCATATAAACACAAACAATAAAAGAGGTGGTGGCATAGCTTTACTTATAAATAAGGAAATAAACTGTAAAATAATTAATAAAATGTCAGTAATGTAAGATAATATTATGGAAATGATTACAATTGAAATATTAAATAAAATTTCTAAAAATATAATGATAAGTTGTGTATATCGATCAGCAGATTCAAAGGTAGAGCTTTTCACCAATCAAATCACAGAGCTCTTTGAAAAGACTCTTAACAAAACAGTTTTTCTGTGTGGAGATTTTAATAAAACAGACTAAAATAATATTGGTACATTTTAGATTCAATGTACAGTTTAAATCTTTATCCATTAATAACAAAACCTTCAAGAATCACTACCCATAATTCTACAATACAATAGGTTGCCTTCAGGCCCAGACCGCCCTTGAAAAAGAGATCTGAGATCTCAATGGGACTTGCCTGGTAAAAGAACGGTAAATAAATAAATAATAAATAATAATTGATAACATTTTTACAAATATAACAAACAGAGAGATAATGGGTGGTATTTTGATTAATGACACTGTATAAGTGATCACTTACCAGTTTTCTCAATTTATAAAAATGATCAATGCAACACAAAAGTAGATACAATTAAGAAAAAATAATAAACACATCAAAAAAAATCTTTGGACAAATTAAAAGATGATTTGATAATACAAAATTGTAAGGATGTGTATGTTGACGAGGTAAATAGAGCATATGACGTATTTGTGAATATTTTGGGAGGTCTATATGAAAAAAATTGTGTACAAAAAAATTTACAAAGAGAAATATTGTTGATGAACCAAGGATGACAAATGGATTGGGAAATGTATGTTAAAAAAAGAATCACTTGTATTCATGCTTCCTGAAATCAAGAACAAAAGAAGCAGAAGATAGATACAAGAAATATAAAAACAAGTTGGTTTGGATTACAAGAAACAAGAAGGCGTATTATATAGAATTATTAGACAAAGTAATGGTAATATGAGGGAAACGTGGCGAATGATGACTAGTGTTTAGAAAAATCACAAAATAAAATCAAGTTCTCCACAGTATTTTGTAAAGGATGGTTATGAAATTCACAACCAGAATGAAATTGTGGATGGATTTAATAATTATTTTGTAAATGTTGGGCCAAGTCTTGCAGCAAAAATACCAAAAGTAGATAAAATTGTGAGTCACACAGTTACAGATTGTACAAACAGTATTTTTCTTGTTGAAACTGACAAAGAAGAAATATTGAGTTTGGTAAAAAAAAATCTTGTTGACATAAGATCAAAAGACTGGGTTGACGTAGACATGATGCTTGTAAAAGATATAATGAATTATGTGATTGAACAATATATATTTGTAATTTATCATTTTCAACTGGTAGATTTCCTGACAATATGAAAACAGCCAAGGTATTTCCTCTTTTTAAAAATGGTGAGAAACGTGTTCAAAAATTACAGACCAATATCCTTGTTACCACAGTTTTCTAAAATTTTAGAGAAATTATTTGTCACCAGACTGGATCAATTTATCGAAAAGCAAAATATCTGTAGTCAGTATGAGTTTAGAGCTAAAAATTCCACATCAATGGCTCTTAAGGAAATTATGGAGCAAATACAGTAACAACAGCTATCGATCAAAAACAGTATTGTTTAAGTATTTATGTAGATTTAAAGAAGGCATTTGACACAAATGATCACAGTATTCTTATTGAAAAATTAAGTAAATATGGTATTAGAGGGTCGGCACTACAATGGGTATCTTGTTATTTGAAAGATAGGAAACCGTTTGTATAAATAAATAGTGTAAGATCTAAACTTGGTAATATCACATGTGGAGTCCCTCAAGGTTCTATACTGGGACCTAAGTTATTTATTTTATATGTGAATGACAAAAATATCTAAATCTATTGGAGTAATGTATAAAGTCAGGGAGTTATTTAATGACAAAGCTCTGCTTGTGTTGTACAATTCAATAATTGTACCACATTTAATTTTACTGTATAGAAGTCTGGGGTAAAGCTTGCAAAACAATTTCAAATCCAATTTTCGTTTTGCAGAAAAGAGCCATAAGAATTATCGTGAGAAAATATTACAACCATCCATCAAATATATTATTTTGCAAACTGAAAATTTTGAAATTCTATGATTTGATTGACTATAATATTTTACTGTTTATGTACAAGGCTCACAGAAACGTATTACCTTCCAACAATCAGGCAAACTTTGTTAAGAGAGACAGTTGTTATTATTTTAAGGGGATGGAAATGTTTGTGAAACTGTATTTTCGTACCTGCTTGAGAGAAATTTGTACTTTAATCCAGGGTATAGTTTAATCAAGGGTATAGTTTAATCCAGGGGAATGATCTGGAGGATGATCTTAAAAATACCAGATCTATGTATATATTTAAGAGACAGATAAAAGCTAGTTTTCTGAAAGTATATGGAAAAGTAAAATGTGAAGCTATATGAATTGTTGTTTGAGTTGATGTTTTTATTTTTATTCTTTTGTAAATTATGTTTTATTTGAATATATTCTGGGGATAAAGGGGGAGACATTATAAGATTTATTCTTCTTCTGCTACCTTTCATTTTATTTTGATTTTTGATTTGTGTATCTTCTTTGTTTTTTATTGTATATAGTTAAT